TAAACCCCAAAAACCCTAAACCCGACGGAACCCACATGAAAAACTTTATCGAAGCTTGCCTGCTCGGTGCTCCTCGGAAGCGCTATGTGCGAGCCAGTCGTGGCCTTTTGAACGGCTGAGCGGGCTCCTTCTTCTTTTTCAGGAGGCGCAAGATGTCCTTAAAGACTTCTCCAAGAGACCAGGGAGAAAAAAGCACGACAAGGTTTAGGGCTTAGGGCTTATAGGNNGGGTTTAATTTAAGGGTTCAGGGTTTATAGGGTTTAGGGGTTTAATTTAACGGTTTAGGGTTTAGAGGGTTTAGGGGTTTAAGGTTCAGACCACCTTAAAGTCGAAATGAACCCCAAAAGGGTTGAAGGTTCATATACTATACGGGGATTCATCGTAGGCATAGTAGATCAGGGTCTAGAGGCCCTACCTTTCCGTGCCATTTGGTCCTTCAGGAAGAGACGAAAGGGGAAAACACACACAAAACGGGTGTCAAACTTCAGACTTGTACCACTAGTTAAAGACAGTTGCAACGACCATTAAGAGGAAAGGTGGTTTGTTGGGCAACTATGCCGAGTCCTCGTCTCCGAAAACTTTGGCGATCGAAGCCGGGCTTTCCCCGCTTGAATCCTTCTTGAGCCTGTCCGCACCTGCATCCAACAACAAGGGTTTAGGGTTAATTTAGGGTTTAGGGTTGAGGGTTTAGGGTTTGAGCCTGTCCACACCTGCATCCAACAACAGCTGCACCATTTCTGAGTGCGCATGGCGAACAGCTTTGAAGAGAGGCGTCCAGCCGTTTGCGTCGACCTTCTCCACCTCCGCCCGGGCGGAAAGCAACATACGGGCAACATCCAAGCGACCCCGTGCTGCTGCGCGATGAAGAGCACTGGAGCCCCTCGATGTATCACCGAGCTGCCGAGTGCACGGCTGATTCACCTCTGCACCCGCCTCAAGAATCATCTTCACCATATCTGTGCAACCCTTCTCGCATGCGTAGACAAGGGCCGGCTTGCCCAGGTCATCCGTTTTCTCCACGTTTGCACGGGCCTTCAACAAAAGATCGGCAACCTTGGTGCATTGAGCCACCTCTGCCCAGGCACCTGAAGTTGTGCTGGACAGCGCTTGCAAAAGGGGGCTTCTGCCTTCACTGTTGGCAATCTCCACGTCTGCACGTGATTCCAGCAGCAGCTGTACGCACTGCACCTGCCCCGCATGCTCAAGTTCAGCTGCGAGACACCTTCGTGTTCTTTTCAGGGCTTTCAGGATAAGCAATGGTTTAAGTCTTCAGAGTTTACGCAAGGCTAGGATACTGGGGCTTTGCGGTTGTCCAAATCTCTTGTGTGACTTTGGAAACAACAAAACAAGCACCGAGCAAGGGACACAAGGGTATTAGGGTTACTATGTCCCGAAATACTAACCTACAACACGACTATCCTCAACCCCTAAACCCTAAACCCTAAACCCTGGGACCAAGGCGCAAAGGGGTGTTGTTCTCTTTCGTGGTCCGATCCTTGCTAGCACCTGCCTCAAGGAGCAAACGGGCCACATCCACATGGCCTTAGTTCGCGGGACTAGCAGAAATAATATGCTTCAGGGTTTAGGGTTTTGGGTTTAGGGTTTCAAAAGCCCGAAGACCATGTACCCCAAACCTTAAACCCTACAGGGATCAACTCATGAGCTTAACAAAGGAACCCTGGGAAACTCTGAGAATCCCGACAAATCCCTAAACTCTAATGAACCCAAACAGTTCCCACTAATCCAATAATGCTTAGGGTTCCTTATTTTTTGAAAACCATCATTTGCTCCAGAGCCCTCCTCTATCCAGTTCTAAGATTATTAAAACACCCTAAACCCTAAACTCTATAAGACACCTTACACCCTAAACCCTAAACCCTAAAACCCTAAACCCCCAACCCTATAAGACACCTTACGCCCTAAACCCTATAAACCCTAAAGCACATAAGGAAAGCCGAGAGGCCATTTTGAACTGCGTGGTGCAGTGCTGAAGCTTTCCTGGGTTCTTGTGTAAAAGGATTTAATTCAAGTTGCTAGAATGTCGAAACCCTATTATTTGCTATAGATCCCTAAACCCTAAACCCTATAGAATTTATTATAGACCCCTAAGCCCTAAACCCTATAAACCGTCTTGTGGTAACTTAAATGAAATCCCTTAACCCTTAGCCTCAAAATAGCCCAAAAGCTTATATAGTATGGTGTTTGGGCCCAAAAGCCTTAAAATATGAGTCCTTAGAGCCTTAGGGTTCCCTTATAAAGCCTAGGAGCCCTATAATTTACTGTAGATCCCTAAACCCTAAACCCTATTTCCCCCTATTATGGTAACTTAAATGAAATCCCTAAACCCTACCTTAACCCCAAATAAAACTACCTTTTTAGGGACTGATACAAATAAATCCTTATAAGGAGCGCTAAAAATGTAGGTTCTTTGGAGTCCAGGTAAGCCCTATGAACCCATAAGTCCCTAAACCCTAAACCCTAAACCCTGAACCCTAAACCCTAAACCCCTAAACCCTATAAACCCGATAAACCCTATTACGGCAACTTAAATGCAATCCCTTGTAGAACCCTATAAACCCTACCCCTAAACCCTAAACCCTATAAACCCTATAAACCCCCTGAACTTTAAATCCTAAACCCTAAGCCCTATTATGGCAACTTAAAAGACTTAAATGCTATCCCTAAACCCCAAACCCCTATACTAAACCGTATAAACCCTAAACCCCGAACCTTAAACCCCCTTTTCTGGTAACTTAAATGCAGCCCCTTAAAATAAGAACCCAGTCTCTGCCCCGGTGGGTCTGGCTCTTGAGGTCGGTTTAAGCAGTCCTCACGGCACTTTGGGCTTTAGGGTTTTAGGGGGTTGCAGGGTTTAGGGCTTAGGGGGGTTTAGGGGTTTCGGGTTTTTAGGGGTTTAGGGGTTCGGGGTTTAAGGGTTTAGGGTTTGGGGGCTTAGGGTTTGGGGATTTGCGAGTTGAGGGTTTAAGGGTTCAGGGTTCAGGGGTTTAGGATAGGGTTCAGGGTTTAGGGGTTGAGGAGAAGGGTCCAGGGGTTGGGGTTTAGGGTTGAGGGCTGCATACACGTGTGTGTGTGTGTGCGTTTAAGTGTGTGTGTGTATGTGTATGTATGTAATATGTATATATATATATACATATATATATACCTATATATATACATACATACATACATACATACATACATACATACATACATATGTATATATATATGTATACATATATGTATACATATATGTATACATATATGTGTATATATATATATATATGTGTGTCTTGGCGTGTTGTAGCTGTTGGCTGTGTGGAAGGTGTAGGGTCCAATTAAGCTTCAGATAATGAAGGGAGTGAAGCGAGCGGAAGCATGATTTATTTGAATTGAAGCAAAGTAAACGGAACGAAGAGGAGAGGGAAATGACCTAGATTTCAATGATTCAGGCTGCCATTATGATCTAGGTGTATAATATGAACTAGAATATAATGTCTCAATTTCCAGAAGATCCCGTGTGTTAAAGGAATAGAAGCATAAAGTAAAAGAGCGCAGTGAGTGTGAAAAGAATAAAACCGCGCATTCGTTTCTCTTCTTTGCGTTTTGTTCTTTTCACTTCTCACTCACGTTCGCTTCTTTATGGTTCTTTCCTTTCCCTTTAACTAGAGATATAGGTGTAGGGTTTAGAGGTAGGGTTAATGGCATCAGGAACAACGTGAGATTAGTTATAGGATCTCATAGGAAGATATTAATGACTCATCCTGTAGGTCATATTATAATGGGAGGATACAACTAATTCTTGGTTATTAATTCTCGAAGGCTAGGTTGTGTCGTGTCCGTGTGCTAATTAAATGAAAAAGAACGCAATGGAATGGAATGGAAGCGCGGTTCTTTTCATTTAATTAAAACACGCACCCTTCTTCTCGACACCTTATTTCTTTCATATTTTGTTTTAGGGTCCATGTAGGATGTATCTGGGCTTTGAAGTAACCAAGAAGAAAAAACTTGCTTTTCATAATGGTTCCTTTAAGGGACAGAGACCTCCCCAAAAAGTACTCACGTATGGTACTCCAAAACCCCTAAACCCTCAACCCTAAACCCCTAAACCCTAAACCCTAAACCCTAAAACCTAAACCCTAAACCCTAAAACCTAAACCCTAAAACCTAAACCAAAAACCCTGGAGGACTGAAGGACTGAAGCTGGCGGTTATTCCCCAAAGGCTCAATGCACCCCTCGAGTATACACTCTGAGCGGCTCTTATAGAGGCACTGTAAGGCTTAAGTCCACATAAGGATGATCCAATTTGAGGTTCCAGACACCTATGCTAGAGGCTCCATACAAACTACTATTGTGGAATTAGGCTCTTAAAATCATAATAAGGATGGTCTTTTGGGACCTACTTCCATAATGGTAGTCCATTTGGAGCCTTCGGGTATCTACTATGTCGGTACATGGAGCCATTGGATTAGGGATTGAGGGTTCGCGTCTTTCAGGGTGTAGACAGTCCTCAACCACCGACACATCACCTGGGCTCGTCTTGCAGGCCCTCCAACAAAAACGGTGGTTTCCTTAAGGACGAAATGAACCCCTGGAAGCGTTTGAGGTTCAAACACCATACAGGGAGTCGTAGCATAAGTTCATACGGGTAGCCCTTACCTTCAAAGGGCTCATATTTTTAAGGCTTTTGGGCTCAAAGACCCTATCATATAAGGCTTTGGGCTATATGGTAATATAGGGCCGCTGCTTTACGGGTCATTTGGACCCTTAATGTTCTTCTGAATGCAATGATCCACGACAGGAAGACAGCATAATGCAGTAGTCTGAAATATGAACTGTGAGATCCCGACTAGTGAAACTGTACTAGACTAGGCTAGACTAGGCTAGACTAGGCTAGACGATAAAAGCTGTACTCCCTAAGATAACAACTTGGCCGGGTCGCCCCTCCGAGCAGCCTTGATGAGCTCATCCTGGGTCTTTGCTACGGAACTTGGTTTAAGATACCGTAACAGTACCTTAACCCGCCAGAACCTACTTTGTTTTTGTAGGGTCCCTATAAATTCCATATAAGGGTTTAGAATAAGAACCTACAAAATAGTAGGTTTTGGTAGGTTAAGGTAAGGCCTAGGGATCTTTAGTAAACATTACTTCCGTATCTCGAACCCTAAACCCAAAACCCTAAGTTCCTTGTTCAGGGAACTTTAACTTAGTAAAACATTGATTTCCTTATCTGGAACCCTAAACCCTAAACCCCAAACCCCTTGTTTAGGGATGCTTAGTTAAAAAAGCTACTTTTCTTGTCTGAAACACCCTTAAACCCTCGAAACCCTAAAACCCGAAGCCCCAAGCCCTAAACCCTAACCCTCGAAACCCTAAAACCCTAAGCCCTAAACCCTCGAACCCCGGAACCCAAAGCCCTAAGCCCTAAGTTTTCTTGACAAGAGCTCAGGATCAATCTGGGCTTGGCTCGCGGTCACGAAAGGTACGAGCACCAGCGTCAAATCGAGAGGAGGCTCGAGGAAAGCGTCATCGTTGTGTACCTGGATTTAGGCTTCAGGGTGTTGGGTTTAGTGTTTCAGGGCAGGTCACCGCTTTGTATCTGCTTTTAACTCTTTTAAAGTTTAGGGTGTGGGGTGTAGGGCTTTTGGGTTTAGGGTTTATAGGGTGTAGGTGGAGCCCGTATGGTTCATGGGCATTTGCAGAATACTACAGGTTCGCTGGGGGTCTAGGTGCTCTTAGGGTTTCGTTTGTTTGGATAAGGGCTGTTGTTCTGACACGTTAGAGCCTTATTCAGAACATCAATTAAAGACATACTTGATGCTATTTGGGAAAAAAGAGACTGCGGGCAACTGCAGTCACAGGTGCAGTGGAACCCTCCTTCAGCAGTCTTTGCTTGAATCTCAGCTGGCCACAAAGCGTTTGCAAATGCCTCTTTAACACGTGCCCGGGGCATTTGTCTGCGTTGGCGAGTTTTTGTAAATCCTCCTGCGTGAACTCAGCCAGCAGATCGCCCGACGCGCGGTAGACGCGCAGCATTGCCGCTTGGAAAGGGTGTAGATAGCTGATGCTAAGTTACTTTAAGTTTCAAAGCACAACCATGAGGCCATAAGATGCTATGAAACACGGCAATGCCTACCGAGCAGCACCGACAACAGTTGTTAACTACAGAACAGTAAGTATAGTATATGGTCCATAGCCATGCAAACTCACTCTAGGCTTGAGAAAGCTCCGCACAGCACCTCTGTGAGACATGCCTGAGCATTCCCTTCACCCTACAGCCTAAACACCTAAACCCCAAACCCCCAAACCCTAAACCCTAAACCCCTAAACCCCTAAACCCTAAACCCTAAACCCTAAACACCTAAACCCCAAAACCCCAAACCCCCAAACCCTAAAACCCTAAAGGGTTTAGGGAATCCCTTTCCTCATCTGGTGGCTCCCTCTCGACATGGGTAGTTCTCAGTTCGACTCTAAGTTAGGGTCCCTTTCTAGGTCCCTCAAATAGTACGGCACCCTTACACAAAGTACCCTAAAAGGGACCGTCAATTTTGAGAACTACCCCCCCATAATCTCTATAACAACACCCCTTCGGGGTCGACGTGGCCAAGAAAGTAGGGTTTTCGGTCCCAAGTACTTTGCTGGGTTTAGGGTTTAGGGTGTAGGGTTTAGGGACGATACTCTTAAAGGCTATTGGCGTCTCGAACCCTACTATTCTGTTAGAACAGGCTCCCTTTATAAGAAGGCTACCCTCTTTCCTACTAGTCGGTAACAACAAGGGGGACCCTGAAAGAAAAAGGGCAAGAGGATACCACTCAGGAACTTAGGGGTTGCAGCAAGGTCGATTTGAAAGCACGGAACCATACCGAGACCCTTAAATGTAGTACCTTTTTTGGTTACCTAACCATAAAATAGGTCATCCAATCAAAGGTGCTACATTTATGGGTCTAGGTACAGTTTCGGTGCTCGAAGCCTAGGGGATAGGTCTTGCGGTTTGCGTTGCGGTTCTCCTGAAAAAGGCGATTGAGCTTTCGGAGGTTGCCTTGAATTCTGTGGTAACCCCGGGAATCAGCCGCACATAGTTCAAGTTGAGCATAATGGGCAAGAGATCTTGCTTGGACCACGTCCCTATCCTGGTAGAAGTACACTCCTGAACAAGAATGGGTCAATGCTAACATATTCACAGCACGAACCCAAACAACCTAGCCACAGTCTTGTGTCACGTTGAAATGAGAAAGCCTTAGTGGAACCTTTAAGGCAGATTTTGACTGACCCTAAACCCAAAACCCAAAAACCCTATAAGGCAGCTCTTGAATCACGAAGCCCTAAACTGTGAGTCCTCGGGGCCTTCGGGTTAGCCACGGTTTTAGGGTTTAGGGTTTTAGGGTTTTAGGGTTTAGGGCTTAGGGCTTACCTGTAGCCGAAAAAGCCTACCTGTTTAAGGACTTATATATAGAAACCATAATAATGAACCCTCAAAAAGTAGGGTCTTTTCGGCTACAGGTAGGGTTTTGGTTTTTAGAGTTCCTAAACCCTAAACCCTAAACCCCAAATCCCTTACCCCCTAAAGTCCCTAAAGTCCCTAAACCCTAAACCCCGTTTAGGGTTTTAGGGTATGGCGAGGATCGGATCCCTGGCCACATCTTGGAGGAAGTCGATGTAGTGGTCCACCTGAGGCCGCGTGGCTGAGGTAGGAACTTGAGGGCTTTAGGGTGTAGAGTTTAGGGTTTAGGGTTTATAGGGGTTTAGGGTTTATAGGGGTTTAGGGTTGAGGGTTTAGGGTGTCGAGTTCAGGGTTTTAAGGGTCTCAGGGTTAAGGGTTCAGGGAAGGCTTCTTTCTCGCTCTTTCTCTCTCTCTCTCTACATAGCATATAAACATATACATATATATATATAACTCTATACATACATACATATATATATATATGTTATATATATATAGATATGTATATACCCATATACAAATGTAATCGGTCAGGCCTACAAATCACAAGCAGATTCTACTACAGTCCAAGACCGTCTACATGCTCCGCCCAGACCTCGTTCCATGTTGCCATTTCGGCACGGATCTCTTCCACAATGGCCAGGTGCTGCCTGAGCGTGTGAGTGCATGTCTAGGGTCACGGCTCAAGGCTTATGACGGGTTGCTGCACTGCACTGTCGGATGTGTGACAGGGCTGTGCAAGTTACAGGACAAACTGGGCCTTCACAAGCTCGTGCAATCGAGCCCTAGATACAACGTGGCTTATGGGGTGCTGTGGGTCTTAAGGTTCAACTAACTCAACAAATTAGGCTTAGGACTTGGGGATAGAGATTTAGTGCTTCGGGCGTATGGTTCAAGGTTTTGCACCTAAACCGTAAACCCTAAACCCCAAAACCCTTAACCCTAAATCCCGAAACCCGTAAACTCTAAAACCCTAAGCCTAAAAACCCTACACACTAAACCCTAAAGCGCCATCATCCGCTCGAAGCCCGGAGACGAAAACCCAAACCTCAAAGTTCTCAAGTACCTATAAAGGTTCTGTAAGGCTAGGGCTTAGGGTTTAGGGTTTAGGCTTCTACTAGGATTATTTTCAGAAATTGTGTGAGGATTCCGTTGAGGGTCGTGCAAGGTTTCGTTTATTAGGGGGGATACTTGGGGTTTAGGGTTTAGGGTTTACTTGACTAGGTGTTTGGGTTTCGGATGGTAGGCATGTAAGTTAGTTTTGGGCAGAGTATCTGCTTGTGAGGTACTTGGACCGCTCGGGTAATGATAACTCCTACTATAGAAACCGTTCTTTCTACAATATAGGTACTTCGAAGAATTTGGGTAAACCCTGGAGCCCTTAACTTATCAGGACACTTTGGGAAAAGGCCTAAAAATGCGCAAATGCCTGCCTGAAAATATGCCAGTTGATCAACGTAATGGGGCGTAGAGGCTGATGGTTTAGGACTTACCTTAACCCCAAACCCCTAAACCCTAAACCCTTAACCCCAAATAACCTACCTTTTTAAGGACATATATATATATATATAAAGAAATCATAATAAGGAGCCCTAAAAAGGTAGGATCTTTAGGGGCCAGGTAGGGTTCCGGGAAGTGGGGTTTGGGGTTCCTTTCAAGGGGTTCCTTTTAAGGGTTCCTTTAAAGGGATCTAGAGGGTTCCTGTAAAGGGTTTAGGGATTTTGGGGTTTAGGGGTTTAGGGTTTAGGGGCTTAGAGCGTAGGATTTCGGATTTATGGGTTAAGGACTAGGGTTTCGCAAAAAAGCGTGATAAGCCCCCAAACCATATACTATCATAAAAACTCCTCGATGGCTTGACAACATATATGTCCCGTGGACGGTAGATAACCTTTCAACTACCTCGGTAAAAAAACTGCAACCACCCGTCCTTTGAAGACGAAGGAACCCTAAAAGGCTTTAAGTCCGAATTACCAGACAAGGATTCATCGAATATGGGTATAGAGCACCTACCTTTTAAGGGTCAGTTGGTCCATAACGCTAAAACCCTAAACCCTAAACCAAACGGTAGCTGGCGCCGGCCAGCTGCAGTGTGTAGTCGTCGTGTGCGTACGGGCTAGCGAGCACCAGTCGGGCGCCTTCGATCAACTTTTCCCCTAAGGGTCCAAGTACCTAATAATGATATATACTCTTCTGATAAGGTACTTTGGTTGCGCATGGTAGTTATCTAGGTTAATATTTGGGAGAGTATATGATTATTAGGTACTTGGACCCTTATGGTTAGGG